CTTCCCTTTTTGGCATGCTTCACAAAGAGCATCTGAAGTGAACTTCAGATTAGGGAGTCCTCTGACAAGATTAAGTTTATTAATCTGAGATATACGTCTCATATTAATATGGCCCAATCTTCTGTGTCAGACCCATTGCTCTTTATTAACAGACAAGAGGCATTTAACATTTTGAACTTTAATTTCTGAAAGATTTATTTTATAAGTGTTGTTTTTCCTCTTACCACTAAATAGGATAGAGTCATCCTTTTGACTAATAGCTTTATAACATTTTTGATTAAAGGTAATATCATAACCATTGTCACTTAATTGACTTATGGACAATAAGTTATGCTTTAACCCTTCAACAAGTAAAACATTAGTAATAGAGGGAAGTTTACCATTTCCAATGGTGCCAGATCCAATGATCTTGCCCTTCTGGTTCCCTCCAAACTTCACATCACCTCCAGATCTAAGTTCCAGGCTTTGGAACATAGACTTTTCTCCTGTCATGTGTCGTGAGCATCCAGAGTCCAGGTACCATGATTGGCGTCCTGACCTTGCTGCTAAGAACATCTGCAACAGGGATTATTTTACTTTTAGGTACCCAGATCTTCTTGGGTCCTTTAGGGTTAGTTGGTTTGTAGGTTTGTCTAAACTTCTGTTTTTCAACATAATGTTTATTCTGACTTGCCTTGGGTTTAAACACATAAGTATTCTTCTCAGAGCTTGTGTGTTTAATGTCATTTAAGTGACCAAACTTAAATTGAGAGTACAGAGGTGTCTTCTTGATGAAGAGTTTGTCAACAGATTTTGGATTACTTCCAAAGGAAGATTCATATCCAATACCTCTTCTGTTGTTCCCACTAACACCATAGATCATAAAAGCCATCTTGCTTCTGTCTATGCTCTTAGTAAGAAATCTCTGAAAGCTAGAGTCATATTTTTGTAAAATGTTTTCACATGACTTAGCCTCAGATTCAGATTCTTGTTGAGTTACTTCAAAGTCATTTTTTATTTTCAGATTAATTTCTTTTTGCTCAACAAGTTCTGTCTTCAGAAGATCAATCTCAGATTCAAGACTGCTTTTCAGCTTCTTGTATTTGAGTTTGATATTGTTATAGCTTTTCAGAACTTCTGATAAAATTTTGATAAGTTCTTCTTTAGTAAGTTTAGCCATTACCTCTTCAGCGTCATCGTCAGATTCAGAATCAGATTCAGAATCAGATTCAGATCCTGAAGTTCCTTCTTCCTGATCTTCTGTGCTGGCCATCAGTGCAACATTAGCACATTCTTCTTCTGATTCAGAAGATGATTCAGATTCATCCGAGTCATCCCATGTTGCCATCAGAACCTTCTTCTTTTTGTTAAACTTCTTCTTGGGTTTTTCTCCTTGAAGTTTGGGGCAATCATTCTTGTAATGCCCAGGTTCTTTGCACTCATAGCATACAACTTCTTTCTTGCCAGATCTTCTGCGCCCAGAAGATTCCTTTCTATGATTAGATTTTCTGAAGTTGTTGAACTTCTTTCCCTTGTGCTTCCAGAGTCTGTTGATCCTTCTGGACAACATGGATAACTCATCTTCTTCTTCAGAAGAAGATCCTTCAGAGCTTTCTTCAATAACCTGCAAAGCTTTAGCAGATTTATTAGATTTTAAAGCAATAGATTTACCTTTTTCTTTCTTCTGAGGTTCATCTTCCTCAAGTTCAATTTCATGGCTCCTCAGTGAGCTGATGAGTTCTTCTAAAGAGATCTTGTTCAGATCTTTAGCCATCTTCAGCGCTGTCACTATAGGTTTCCATCTGGTAGGTAGACTTCTGATGATTTTCTTTACATGATCTGATGTGGAATATCCCTTGTCCAGAACCTTTAGACCAGCTGTGAGGATTTGAAATCTGGAGAACATAGCTTCAACAGATTCAGAGTCTTCCATCTTGAAGGCTTCATACTTCTCGATCAGAGCCAGAGCCTTTGTTTCCTTGACTTGAGAGTTTCCCTCATGAGTCATCTTTAAGGATTCAAACATGTCAAATGCAGTTTCCCTGTTTGTAATTTTTTCATACTCAGTATGAGATATTGCATTCAACAATGTTGTTCTGGCCTTGTGATGATTTCTAAAATCTTTCTTCTGAGCATCTGTCATAGATTTTCTGTCTATCTTCTTGCCATTCCCATCTGTGGGATGAACATATCCATCTATGACTAGATCCCATAAATCAGCATCATATCCAAGGAAAAAACATTCAATTCTGTCTTTCCAGTAATCAAATTTCTCCCCATCAAACATAGGGGGTTTGGTGCTGATTCTGTCCCTTTCTTCATATTTGTTGTTAGTGTTAGATATTGTATTATCAGCCATAGTAACAACCAAATATATATCAAAGTATTTCTCTCTGGATCTTTACTGTCACTGTTAAGTGGTAGCACACACAGAACCGGAGCTCTGATACCAACTGAAGGTGAGGTAATACTTAGAAGGGGGGGTTGAATAAGTATGAAAGATTAAAACTTAGAATAAAAACTCAAGTATTTTTAACCTGGTTCGTTGAACTCAACTACTCCAGTCCACCCTTCCTAGAGTGATTTGCCTTTCTCAATCAAGGACTTAACCCACTATTTAATCAAACAAATTACAATAGTAACACCTAAGAACAACTGTTCTTAGTCTTCTCAAGAGCTACTGATTCCAACTGAATCCTCTTAAGGAAATCTTTTATAATCAATGTAAAACTATTACAAGAGTAAGAATGCTTCTAAAAAGCTTTTATCACAACTGTGATATTTCTCTTAAGTTTAAGTACAATGAAATAAGTTCTTAGAAAGAATATGAAAGTATGAGAGCTTGAATGTTTTAATTTCTTTTTAACAAAACGTCAACTGAAGAATTTGGTGGAGTCTTGCTTTTATAGGCAGCTGATCCAAGGTGAGCTGCACGTTGAGAAGAGTGTCCAAAAGGTCTGAGCCTTTTTGTCTTCACATCAAGTGACCTTTCCTAGAAGAAGAAAGCACAGAAAAATCCTTTTTGTCTGTGTTCTTGTGTCTAGCATAAATAAGGAAAGAGACGTTTGATTTACTCCAACGGATATAATCTTTGAATATTTCTTCTTCAGTTTTCAGCAAGTTCATCAGAGTCTACTTGGGTCAGAGTCTTCTGATGATGATCAGAGTCTTGCTGAATCAGAGTCTTCTGCAGCAGGTGTGCTTTCAGCGTGTTTAATATCAGAGCATATTTGAGACAGAACTTCAGTATTGGCAGCTTTAGTACTTTCAGAAACTTCTGTAGAAACTATGCTTTGAAAAGCTCTTCATACAAAATTCTTCTTTGCTTCAGATGCTTCTGACTTGCTTCAGATTCTTCTGGACCTTCTGCTTCATATCCTTCTGGAGATTCTGCTTCAGAATCTTCTGGAGGCTACGCTCAGAATCTTCTGTTGGCAGCAATCAGAATCTTCTAATGAGTGCATCTGGCGCTTCAAAGTGTAGCTAATTTCTTGTGATCAATTCTGATTTGCTTCTGGAGTGTTAATTTCTTTACTATCTGCAGTAAAAACTCTCAAGCAAATTTTAGAGTATATAATTTTTAAATACAAAATTTCATAATAGTTATCATCAAAACATAGAGATATTATTAAGAACCAATCTGTGTTCTAACAAAAACATCTATCAATCCATTTAAACAATCATTTAATTATTCAAATAATTAGGATAATCCGAATAAATCAATTATTTAACACAAATAATTGATCATTGAAAATTGGGTTGTTACACTCATTGTATATCTAAGTACACACTATACATATCCACTTTATCCAACCTTCCATGTAGAGTTCGTTTCATCTGTCAGTGCTCTAAATCTGGTTGCATTCCTCTGGTAGATCTGACAAATCAGTAATCACCACAAAATCAAAACTTTTCCTAAACCCTAAACCGAATTCAAATATCCTAAGGATGGAAGAAAAAACACATATTTATAGTCAAAATAGAAAAGTGAAAAAACAAAAAAAAAGATGTTGAGAAAACTTCAATAATAACAGTAAGAATCCTTTCATCTCTGACCCGGGTAAATTCATTTGTTTCTTGTACCAGTAATACATGATGTAGAAAATAAGACCAAACTCGCAATGTGTTGCTTTACCACAGTTATTTAACCCATGATTTAGATCTCTCTTCGAAGTCGTGGTGTCTAATGACAGTTTCAAAGCCACGACCAATTATCAATTTGGCGAAATTCAACCCAATTTGTTGACTTTGTATGAGCAGCAGCTAAAAGGGCTTGGTCATTGTCAGCTTTCCTTAAGGATAATAGGAATACTTATCCAAAATCCATTAGTCACGCCTCAGCAGCTCTCAATGGAGCTCTAGCTGCATCAATATGACCAACATCCATAGAATATTCCATTTGTACATTCACCTGAAAAATAAAGTTAATCAATTATAACTTAAATAAAAAATGATATGAAAAGCTATATATAGATTTTGAACATGTAGAAAATAATAGAAGTTCATTGGAGAAAACAAAATGGCATACCTCTTCGTATAATAGTAGCAAAAGTCCGCCAAGATGAAAGACTGAATGATCTCTGATAAAAATGCTGCCAACATCCAGAAATATCCATAGCCGATGAAATATAGATATTTCCCTCGCGTATCATAGGTCTGCAAAAGATTAAAAAAATTACATATCATTATTCAAGTATAAAGATAAATGATATTGGAGAATATATATATATATATATATATATATATATATATATATATATATATATATATATATATATATATATATATATATATATATATATATATATATATATATATATATATATATATATATATATATATATATATATATATATATATATATATATATATATATATATATATATATATATATATATATATATATATATATATATATATATATATATATATATATATATATATATATATATATATATATATATATATATATATATATATATATATATATATATATAAAAGAGAAATCTCACATGAATAATTCAATAAGCTAGTGCAAAGAATCTAGAGACACCAAGTGAAAATACATAATATCCGGTGAGTGTTTCAACAATCTAAAAACGTATATGTTAGAATTACAATATATATAAAACCTATAAGGATTAAAGAAGTTATAGACTTATAGTAGAACAAAAATTATAGAACAAAGTTTAAATCTTTCAAACCTTTGCTTTCTGCATATAACGAAGTTGAGGAAGAATCGAAATAGTTTCCAAATACACAGAGAATGCGCAAAGAACTCTAGCTATCCAGATATGCTTTGTATATGGATGTACTAATATTGCCAAAATTGTATATGGCACCACCTTTTACACAAACAATAGAAAATTATGCCACATATTCTTTGAATCCAAATCAAAAAGTTGTTAAATTATGATATAAAATTATACGACAAAGAAAAACATACCAGAAAGGATAACCGCATGTTGTCAAACTCCTTAATATAAGATGACTTCAACTTGAATCTTATCAACCAAATAACAAGCAATGTTGATAAGAGAAATATCAGATCCACCATAGTGTGGATGTTAGCCTCCATATAGATACTGCAACCTAATCTTGTTGTAAGGAATAATGTTGTGAGCTCTTGACTCTTGAGGAATAAACCTAAAAGTATAAAATGTGTTAGAAGATTTGAGGATAATAGGAATACTCAAACACACAAATATGAGGATAATAGGAATACTTATCCAAAATCCATTAGTCACGCCTCAGCAGCTCTCAATGGAGCTCTAGCTGCATCAATATGACCAACATCCATAGAATATTCCATTTGTACATTCACCTGAAAAATAGAGTTAATCAGTTATAGCTTAAATTAACAATGATATGAAAAGAAGGTCCACAATAAATCTGCCATATGAAATAGAATCATCAGCAGCAATGATGCAATCTCCACTCACAACCTCAACCACCTGTACTATAATAAGATGTAGCAGAAAAATATAGCATCAACGCATCTGTATTTCTATCCTGGTGCATTCAGATTCAGAACTTCAGATACATTTCTTGTGATATCTTGAATTTATGGTTTATAGAAAAAAAGTATATGCTAAAGAAGAAAGAACCAAATGCATACCACATTGGCATAAAAATGAGCCAAAACCCTCACTTCAGCTTCGACGTGACTAAGAAATTCTTTCAGAATCTGAACATTACAAATACTCAAATCATAAGTTGCACATAACAGAAGGGTAATAATCCAAATTCATCAGAATTTAGAAGTTTGTATCTGGTAGAAGTATTCTGACACGGGCCCGTCGTTTTCTGATGCAGACAGTTCTTGAATTACTTTCTCCAGTGATTTACTAATAGCTTGCATTTCTTCTGCCAGATATTTCAATTGTAGCTATATGCAAAAACTTGCTTGTAACTCGGTATACACCAAAATCGAAATGAGAATGAACTCGGCATACACCCTTTTTCTTTTGAATTAGTGTGTTGTGAATTGAAGGAAATGCTCCCTCCATAAACCTAAACATTAAGTTCATCAGTTTTGTAAATGAAAAAATGACAGGCATAACAACAATTAATGCTTTTAAGTAACCTACATAGTCAATTCATAACAGAAGGTGAAGTTGCTTTACATCCATGACAACATGAAATATATTAAGCAAGTCATAAACTTGCAGTATTAGCATAATTAAAATGACAACATAACTAAATGAACATCAATTAGTTTGGGAGTATTTCCAGTAGCAGTAGCTATAAACTTCCCATGAACATGCTGAAATCTAACTTGTTTACTACCTCCCTACAATACATTAAGTCTTTTTAATTAACAAAGTGCAGAAAATGCCTTGCTTATTTTAAATATGACATACACTCAAAATCATAAATACATATAGAACAAATGCAGAAGATGATGTCATCAAAAGGATTATTGTCACAAAAGCTTCAGAACATGTGATCAAGTTGGGTAATCTTTCATAAGTGGAAGGAATTCCATTTCCGCTGAAATTATTGTCATCAAGTTGCCTGTAAGGAAAACAGGAAAATATGAAAATCATAGACAATAATTAGTTGAGTGCATAAAGAATGGTACAAATATTTAAATCAGAGCATAGCATACAGTATTTCCAAACTGTGTAACTTGGAGAATTCTGGTGGAAGATATCCCGATAAGTTATTATTGTCCAAAAACCTGTATAGCCATATTAATAACGTGAGAAACAGTTAAAACTTGTAGAAAAAATATCAATTTGGAGATGCATCCAAATCATGAAGAAATTGTAAAAAAATAGGCTTCGATACTCACAAGTGCATAAGATTGGATAGGTTTGAAAGGTTGGATGGAAGTTGATTGGTGAACGAGTTGTTGTTTATGTGGTTGCAATTGCAAAGACAGAAAATGCAGCAGAATAAGAACATGTAAGAAATTGAGCTTTATGTTCTGTTGATGAACAATTTTGGTTTCGAGATCCATTTACAGGTGTCTAACATTGACCAAATTCTCTAACGGTTCTAGCACAGAGCCTGACAGTTGGTTTTCATCTAGTTGGAGTCTGTTCATATTCCTAAGGTTACCAAGCTCATCTGGTAAACTGCCAGATAATTTATTTCCATTCAAGAGCCTGCATAGAAAATATGTCAAAATAATAACAATTCATATTAATTAAGCGCTTATACTATAAGCTTGAAGAGGATTAATACTAACATTTCATTTTATTTGGTAAGTTTCTTACAAGAGTTTCAATGATGTAATTGTTGCACCCCAAAATTTGCCCAACCGGTTTTCTCATTACTGGCTTTTGTTTCATTGCATTTTGCATTTTTTTGCATTGCATAGCATTGTTCAGTTGACAGGGGATCGAGGTTTTCCTATGGCTCGGAATTCATTTTTGGTGCGAGCAATCAAAGCAGCGAGTGTCTCCGGCATTTATTTTGCCTAGCGGTCGAGCGATTGATTTTATTCTGTTTTGCAGGTTAATTTCAGATCAGGATCAGCACTCAGGCTCATAACAAGTATTTTCACAGTGATAACGTTCAAAAATGAGGTTCAGCAGCTAAATAGAGCTCCAGACAGTTGAAACAGGGCAAATGGACAGATTTCCCTCCAAAAGGCGCAAGAATTCAAAATTTGAAGGTGTTAATCGGTTAACCTAGATGGTTAATCGATTAACCAAAGGGAAATTAGCCCAGATTCAAAGTTTTAGAGGCGTTAACCGACTAACGCATATGGTTAATTGGTTAACCATAGCAGATTTTGCCCTGTACGTGATTTTGCAAGCCAATTGCACTTGGGGTCCAATTTTGATCACCTTGGAATTCAAATTTGCATGTGGGAAGGATCTAGAACACCTTTAAATTTCAGATTTCCCTCCAAAATCCCATTCCACATTCCAAGCCTTGATTTCCAATCCAAATTCCCAAACCTAGCTTTGGATCCATACCAAGAGAGTATTTAAGTGATCCACTCCAAACCTCACCATCCAATTCTCATTTCTCACATTCATTTTTCAGAATTGATTTGAATTCTCTAAAATTCTCTCAACTTCTTCATTTTCCAAAACCTCACTCAAAGCTCTTTTTCATTGGAATCAATGGATTCTTGAGCATAATCCTCCATTTACCATCATCATTGGATCAATTTTCATAATCAATTTTCGTGCAAATTGAGATCTGATTTTAGAGCTTGAGTTGGAAGTGCTTATTTGAAGTAATTTGGCTTAAAAGTGTTTGATCTTCATTCATACAACAACAATTGGCTTGGATCTTGAAGTTTTCTGGATAATCTTGTTTGGATCTGCTCAAACTCAGTTGATCAACATTTACTGGAGCAAATCTCCGCTCCTAAGGTTGGATCTGAATCTGTTTTTAGCTTATTTGCTTTAATCATGTGGATCTGTGAATCGACTGTGCTAATCTGTTTCCATGTTGTTGGATCTCTGTTTTCTGTTGTTAATTTCGTGCTTAATTGATAAGTTGATCTGTTGGAACCTTGGATAAGCTGTTTTGTGCTAGAAGTGATTTTCTGTTGCTGTTTTTAGCTTCTGGTGCAGTTTTAATCGGTTAACCTATATGGTTAACCAATTAACCAATTCAAATATTCACATTTTTCAAAGTTTTCAGGGTGTTAACCGGTTAACGCCTGGTGTTAACCGATTAACACCTATGAATTTCCAGATTTTCACTCGTTTTACACAGGTTAACCGATTAACAGTATGTGTTAACCGATTAACATTGTGCAAGAATGTTATATATGTTGTTTTGCTTGCATGTTCGCATACCGGTTCGATTCGAATCTTCATAGATCAGTGTGAGACATTAGGATTGAATTGTTTTGGATAATTGTCACTGTTTGTGGTTGATTGATCATGATTTTGTTGACATGTGTTTTCATTTTTCAATTGTTTGCATGATTGAGTATGTGGTTTGAATTTGATCATTTGTTTGCATGTTCATTTTCTTTCATCTCTTGTTTTCCCCACATGTTTGCATCATTCTTGCATCGCTGTTGAGGTTGAGACGCGCTTGTGGCGGCTGCTGCCCCACACATTTTTTCCTCCCTCCCACCATTCTAAATGTGCATTTTCATGTTTGCATTTCTTTACTTGTGATTGATTCTTCCTTTGTTCTTCTTGTGCTTTTTGCCATGATCCCCATAGGATTCCTAGTCCCTCCGTTTAGGATGGGAGTGGGAGAGACATTAGGTGCTCAATCAAAGTATGCTAACATTAGGGTAGATGTTTCCCCTTTTTATCCGAACCTTAGGATCACTTTGCATGACAACGTTAGGGTCGAGTTTCCCTTAGACCTTCCGTGCGTCTTCTCTTCCCATCTCAAAACCATGCTAACTCATTTAATAAAGGCGATAAACGTTGTGCGCCACGAGCCTTAAGCTACATGGGGAATGATGAGTGAGGGGTATCCTCTCGCTTATCTAGAGTGTTTAGTATACGTCCCGTTTGGGGGCGATATACGACGCATTCGCCTCCATGTCATAGTCTTTAGTGCAACGTGGATCACAAACTGAATTAATTCAATTCACTAAAAAACACAAAAACAAATGTCAAACCTTTTTCCTTCGGGATTAATCGGAAAATCTTTTCAGAAAAAGAGTGTTGTTAACTCTTAGTTCTATCGCAAATGGTAACGCCTAAGTCTCCCATGCTCGAGCTGCATACACCAACTGCTAGAACTGATTGTTAACCCTACTCGGGCCTAAAAACTTTTGAACCAAATGGTGTTCCTTTTAGCCCGAACTACGTTTGCTCTGATCTTTCATACTAGATGAAAGTACGTAGGCACAAGACGCGATGTCTTGGCGAGCAACCTTTCCCCCTCTCTCCCGTAGTTAGCCGAACTACGTTGACTCTGACTTTCCCATTGCACGAGGGAATACATAGGTACAAAGCGGTGATGCTCTGCCGAGTCTCTTTTCCTTTTCATTTTGTCCCGCAAGCCTTTAGCTTAGATATTTTAAGCACACCCTTAAATAGACAACAAGCGTGGATTGTAACACCCCACTTCCCAAAATCAATTAAATTAATAAACATCATAAATAAACATCACAGTATTTCTCCCCAGTGGGATATC